GTGGTGGCTAGAAGTTGCCATGTAGGGCAACACTCAGGCAAAGAGTGAGTGGTGAAAGCTCCTCTTATACACGTGGTGACGACCCAAATGAATCACAGGTGTGTAGCTCACACACCTGCAGGGAATCAGTCAATGGAGAGTTCCTCCAGGACGCCCTCTGGTGGACGCCTGGAGGAGAACAAAAACACAGGGCCAAAAATCACCATTCCCTGACAACATCTACATATCTACGCTATCACTGAATTTGTTATCATCTCTAAATTTTAGAATTTCAAGTATTCCTTTCAAAAGTCTTCCATATGTGCTGTAGTCTGCAACTTTATGATTAGCTGTATGCCTATGTATCAGAAAAAATATTAAACCTTGTGCATTATAGCTGCTAACTCAATTTTCTGCAACTTTTCAGGATCAGGATTCCCATGGTGGGGGTTTTGTTAGTGGTGAGTCATTTGTTGGCATGATGTCCGATGGTAAAACATAACCTTTACATCTGCTGTAAGTGCAACAGGCTCCAATCTAAATCTGAGTAGGACACCAATCAATGAGTTAGTTAAATCAGGACCTTAAAGAAGTTCGGAAATGAGTGACCTACCCTGACATGCAGCACCAACAAACAAAATGGCGGCGCGCATGGACGCAGCGGCTTGGAGCTCCCGACTTTCACTTTATTGTATATAATGCTTTGTGTATATAGTACTTTGTTTAAATTATTTTTATTTCTAGTATTCTTATTTTTATAGTATTCTTATTTTTATTCTTATTTGCACTGCTGCTATTGTCGTGTTCTTCCACACAAGTTTCGTTGTACTTCTGCACAATGACAATAAAGTCTCTTTATCTTTATCTTTATCTTTATCATAGTTAAACACCACTCGTAGGGTTTTCTTCTTGGGGTGGTAGACTTCATGATGTGAGATATACCAAGCTCTACCATCAGCTTCATTCAACTCAACCTGTGGGACAATCTCAGCATATCCATTCGCAACATCATTGAGACGGGCTGTGTATTCTTTGTGGAATGACTCATTTCTCTTAAACTTTCTTTGTAGGCTCAGGAGACGTTGCATGGCTATGTGGTGATTGTTTGAAATTTGCACATCATCCTTCCTGAAGGGCAAGTTAAGAATGTAGTGTCCATCTAGCAGTGAGACTAAATCATTTGCAATTTGGAAGAACCTGTTATCCTCATGTGACAACTCACGCTTTTCCTCTGATGCCTTTGTGGTGTCTGGTATTCCACATCATGGGCTTTGAAGTGGTCCCCAGGTAAAAGGTTACACCTGGTTTGGTATTTATTGGTCTTGAAGATTAAAGATTGGAGTGACCAGGTCAAAGGTTTCGTATTCATGGGCCTTGAAGATTAAAGATTAGAGTGACCAGGGGCCTGTATTACAAAGCAAGAGCAACATACCTAGGATATCTTTCAGAGATTGACCTTGACTAACCCTAACAACTGCACTCAGGATAACCAATCCTACCACAGTGGTTGTCAACCCAGGTTTGTCTGAGCTGAGTATGAGCACGTGTACATAAAATGGGTGGTGTTATCGGCATCTGACCAAGACAAGTCTGACTGCAGAGTGGCTCACTTTACCGCAGAGGAGCAGAATATAATCTATTAAAAAAAATATTAAGAATAATATAAAAACATCATAGGAGCAAAAAGCAACAACCTTGCAGCGGCCAAAGCCAGGAAGGAATGCTGGCAGAAAAATGCTGACTGTGTGAATGCATAAGTTCATTAGTTTATAATAAAATATGATCACTGCTCCATCATGAAGGCACGTATCAGACAATAAGCACATCTGAGGATTCCTTTTAATAAATGTGTTGCCTAATGTATATACTTGTGGCATTTTTGACTTTTTTTGTACTTTCAGCTGCAACCCTGGCGGTGCAAAAAGGATGTGGGAACAAATTAAGAACAAACATAAAAACATAATTCAAAGCGGAGTCGCTTATTAACGTATCCTACAAATACAAGCTTTAAGGCTAAAATCAGTTTACTGTTGTGGGGTGGAAATAAAATCTGAAATAGCTTTGACATTGTCTGTAGCCGACAGGAAAATATATGAATGAAGGAAGACAGCAGCTCATAGAGATCCTCGTGGATACGCTAAGGGGTTTTGCAGGTCCCGAAAAACCCTCACACTCCTCAGTGATCCCTCATAATTCACGCTCCGATGTGTAGAGGGTCTTCTATAAATGGTGATACCACTATGTTGAGAACTGCTTCGTTTTCTACTTCTTCTGAAGTTTTACGGAAGAGAACTGATTTTCAGTGGGAGGTATTTTTATACCCAGTAATCTCAATCTTGAACATAACCTGCTGCAGAGTAGGTTAGACGTTCAGCATAAGTTACCATGGTGATGTACCCCAGTAAGAAGTGAACCACCGTCGTAGGACTGATAACCCAGGATTTAACCTGAAGTTAACTCGCTAACTCGCTTCGTAGTACAGGCCCCAGGTCAAAGGTTTGGTATTTATGGGCCTTGAGGACTGGAGTGACCAGGTTAAAGGTTGCTGAAGGAGAGCCATCACACTCTTTAGAAAATGGGACTCCCATTAGGCTGTTCTGTTTTCATTTTTCGAGAATCTGCCTAGTCTCAAAGGGGGGAAATATGTGGTATCTGGTATTCCACATCATGGGCTCTGAAGTGGTCCCCAGGTAAAAGGTTACACCTGGTTTGGTATTTATGGGCCTTGAAGATTAAAGTCTGAAGTGACCAGGTGAAAGGGTTGGTATTTATGGGCCTTGAAGACTGGAGTGACCAGGTTAAAAGTTGCTGAAAGAGACTTTTAACCTGGACTCCCTTAGGCTGTTCTTAGTTTTACATAAACAACTACCCTATATAAGCCAGTGGTTAAGGTTGGTCTGGAGGGTGATTCTTTTTGGCTTTCTTCAGCATCTTCACATCTTCGCTACTCAAGAAATAATAAAAATTCAGGCCTGCAACACTGTGGACAGCTTTGGTACACTGACTCCTGCTCTGTGTCAACAAGCAAGGTGAGCTTTTTTCACATACTTGGGTGCTGGTTCAGTCATTGGGGCTTTTCTGTCTACTGCAGACCACACTGTAAAGAATTGACTGTGTGTGTGGTTGCCATGATGTGCTGATGTGGAGTGTTTCTCTGTTCTAAATTGGGTTTTGAGGCTGAAAATGGGCACCTTCCTGGGGGGCGAACACTAGGAACAGTTTTATTAGCTTTACCTTCAGTGTGCAGGTCTTCTGCAGATGGCTGATGCTCTTCAGTGTGTAGTTTCGGTATCGGATTGAGCTCTGCAGCATCCTGTTCGTCTATTGCAGACGTGAGAACAGCAAGTTTTGAAGACGAGACCTCCAACTAAATTTTCAGTTCCAAGACTTCACGTTTGTGCTTTAATGATTGCATTTCTTTGTCTAGCGCTTCCTCCTTTTCCTCCAGGTCATGTTTCTTCTTCAGTGATGCCATGTTGACCATGAGGGCTGCTTGTTCTGCTTGTGTTACAATGACTGTAGTATATCTAAACATCTTTTACTGTTTCTACCTGGGTTGTAGCAGAATGCCTTAAGTGAACTCATTTGTTGTCTGATAGTGTCACCAACACTAATGTATTTGCTTTGTGTGGTGTGTGATTGTCTCTGTATTAGATGGTGGCGTTGCTTCTACTGGTTGTGCTGACAGCATGTTCTGCAATTCCTCAAGGTAATAAAAACCCAAAGCATACCACAATAGTTATTGTTTTTGGGTCATTCCTTTCTTCTATTTCATATATAACACAAAAGGGCTCAACAAAAGTAATGATGCTTCAATCGTTATGAACTTTGACAACACTGAGTGACGGTCATCAGCTTGTCTTCTACTATATATATATATAAATTCATTGTGAAAACGTGTCTGCATGGATGGAACTCAAATTCAACATATTTTATTTCAGTATGTTTGTTTGCTGAAGTTGTCCTTTTAAACTTGTATTATTTTTTTGTTTCTCTCTCTCTTTTTTTTTTTTAAAGATCTGTCAAATAAAATGTTCACCTTCCCACAAGAAACCAACTCAAGTCATGTGAAGCTGACTACATCGAGACAAAATCTGGGGGCTGTAACCGTCTGTCTCAGGTAGTGATGCATAATCAAAATGAATTAAATAAAAACCTCCTGTATCCAAAATGACCATTATAATGCATGATGATGTGTTTGCATCACCTACAGGTTCTTCACAGACCTCAAAAGAGATTACTCACTCTTCTCTTTGGCGACACCCTCTGCTTCCAATGACTTCCTGATATACAAGACGGCTGTAGGCGATGAGTTTAATGTATGGGCCAGAAACGCATTTGCAACTGTTGTTGGGCAGGATTACAAACTGAACACGTGGCACTCTGTTTGTTCCACATGGGACGCTACATCTGGACTGATGCAACTTTGGTTAGATGGAAAACCCTCGAGTCGCAAATTCGTCAGCTCTGGATCCAACATCAACGGACCCATTATCATTGTTTTAGGACAGGTACAGTTGTGGACCACCACACTTACAGGAATGGTCCAAGATTTTGTGAAATACACTAATTTCCACTGAGAATTAGATGACATTAATACTAGCAGCCTGTTAGCTTAGCTTCACATCTAAAGCTCCCTTTATTGGGTTAAGCCCCAAATTATTCACATGCCAGACTGATTCTTAGCTGGTAACAGCAACTTCCTTCAGTCTCTACTGGTGTCCTGCTGTTCACCATGAAATCATCCAGTGCAGAACTTCTAGGAAAATGGCATATTTTTGTTGTTCTGTTTTGTTTTTTGGTTGAATTTTTTTGTATATTGCTTTGTATATGCTACACTATAACTGAATTGGTTATCATCTCTAAATGTTCTAATGCCATAGTATTCCTTTAAAAAGTCTTCCAAATGTGCTGTAGTCTGCAACTTTAGAATGAGCTCTATGCTTATATATAAGAAAAAGATAACGATTTGTACATTATAGCTACTAACTCAATTTTCTGCAACTTTCCAGGAGCAGGATTCCGATGGTGGGGGTTTTGACATTAAGCAGTCTTTTGTTGGCATGATGTCCAATGTCCACATGTGGGACTACACACTTCTCCCCTGTGAGATCAAGAACTATGCGGAACAACTAAGCTTCACTCCAGGCAACGTGCTGAACTGGGAGGAGCTGGACTTCCAGATTATAGGAAGAGTGCTGATAGAAGATGATCTAAACGTCTGTTGGTAAACTTTTGATGCCAGACTTCATCCAGTCTTACAAAGTTAGAATCACAACTTCATGTCCAATATAAAGAGTTGACCCAAAAGTTTTGTCAAATTCATCGAAGCTGTCAAAGTGTTCTTAGTTTTGTTTTGTTGTTTTTGTTACTTTTCTCATCAGATGTAACCATGAAATTTTATACTTCACTAATGAGCGTCTTTCTGAACTTGTTGTCATGTATTGTGTGCATTAATCATACAGGGATTGGGATACTCTGTTATATTACTCATCTGAAACAATCATTATCACTCTAAACCTTTGTGCTAAGAGTAAAAGTTGAAACCAGATAAGGATGGAAGAAGAAGGCGCTGATGCTGAATGTAATGTTGCCAAAGAGATCTCTTTTATACCATACATTAAAACTGATTCGTTCTTACCGTAGTGCTTTCTGTATATTTCTGTATATATACACTCACTTTGTTTCTGAACTGATTAAATAAATATATTTACTGCAGCAGCTTAACTTATTTCTGGAAAAAAAAGATGTGTTTATAAAATCACTTAAATATCAAATAAGTCAAAGCTGTATCATTTTACAGTAATTGGATTATTTCTAAGTTGAACAATAGGGTGTTTGTTCTCATGTGAAGCTAAAAATTAACGGTTTGGATTTACTGTGTATGCTTTGTAGTTGTGTTGCAATCGTTTGTTTGGGGGCACCACCTCAGTTTAGTGAGGAATTATTTTAAATGTAATCCCAAAGAGACTTTATGTGAAATCATGTTTATCAGTCTGTTATCTGAAAGCTGTCAGCTCTGATTAAATTGACCTCAGTTCCCAAACAAAGAAAGACACAAAACTGTGAATTAGTCCAAATAAGAAAGGTTTATTAACTATTCTAATATTATAATACACGTGAACGATACACAATAAAATCGGACTTTGTGTAGCGGAGGTGTTATAGGATTACCCAGTCATATAATGAGAATTATGATGAGACCGGAATGGTTAATAAATGATCTAACGGTAGTGAATAATCATTTGGTTTGTGATCGATACGCTTGTGAGCTGATAAATAGTTACAACACCAACCCGATCAGGAGCAGATAGAACATCTGGCTTACTGCTTTTGTGCAGCGCTGATGGAACAGCGTCTCCGTTGGCTGGAACAGTTTGATGAATCAGCACTTACTCCAAAACGGGTCTGGGCTTTCTCCTTCCGAAGCATCGTGAAGTTGTCTGGCAACGAGTTCTGCCGTGGAGCTCTCAGGATGTTGCAGGCTATCAGCGGACTCCCAACGTTGGCACACAGGTGGTGGTTCTGTCAGTAAGCAGTCAGCATCTGGTGCGCGGTGTGCGCGCTCCTCAGAGTTGATAAAAATGATTTTACTATTAACGGTGGCTCTCCTTGTGCTTTCGACCACGTTTGGTATTAGCCGAAAACAGGAAAAAGAAGTTTGGAAACTAAGAGCGAAGGCGCGGTATAATTGATCTGTTACAAAATCTAATTTCTGTTGATTCTTGTCCGTTTGCTTTGACAGAATCAAGCGTGTAAATCAGACTTTCAATGGAGGTGAGCACGATCTTCATAAAACGAAGTCAGAACTAAAACTACGAACTACAAAAATTAGAATACATAAAGAGAAAGAAAGACGCAGACAAAGAAACGGAGCTAGAGAGAACACATGAGTGGGGGAAGTAGGAGCGGCCAGTGAGAGAACAAAGGTAGTTTCCTACTTTGATTCTCCGCAGTCTGAGAGGGCGTGCATGAAGGCGTGGAGAGGATTTTGCCGCGACTCTTGGTAACTTAACCCTCCTCTCTTTGCTGGGACGAAGACAAAAGGCTTCATTTCTTAACTTAACCCTTTCAACACTAAGTAACTTTGGCTTGAATTACTAGGAATATCAAATCGGGGGGGGGATTCTTGAATAGGTGATACAAGGACTTCTGATTGAGTTTAATGCAGTTATGAACACACCAACAGTTATTTAGCCTGTGTACATATAAATGCAAAAGAGGAGACCTCACTACAGATTCTCTCAGTGGTATGCAGCCAAGCTTTTACGACCCTCCTTATCAGCTTTCCTCTTCCTCCTGCGTGCGGGAATCCCCATTGGTAAGAGTGGGGGAGAGTCTCCATAGAAAGAAGAAACAGGACTGTTCACACCTCAGTGACAGTCACTGTGCCTTTGAAGTTGTTGTTTCATGCCATTGCAGGGGGCATGAGCGTCCATGCTGTAAGAAAATGCATGCAGCACCATTTTTCCAGTGGAGTAGAAAAAAGAGAAGTTGACCACCACAGGCTCCTGCTGTAATTCTCTTTTGTGACATTAATGGAGGTTCTTCCTGGGTTTCCCTGTTCTGCCTAGTGTCCAAAGGTTTTTATGATGGGAGTAGATCCAGAATTTAAAGAAAACAATGCTTGTTACCTGGTGTGTCTCCTTGCTTGGCAGTCCATAGAAAGTCAAGCGGTGTCCGCTACAACTGTATGAAGAATAGAGGCCCCACAGAAGGAAGTCAATGCAACAAAAGTCAGAGTCACAAAAGTCACATCTTTCAATACTGAGATTCTTAATGTTGCTTCATATTTTCACCTTTATTTGTTGGGCTGTGTTGACCTTTCTATAAAAAGTACTTAAAAAGATATAGAGATGATGTTTTGGATTCAAGTTGGGCAAATACTTGCCCAGGTCATAGTTTCACTTTGTCCTTCTGTGGAAACTCTTGTGTGACTCTGTGCTTTGGATGGTTCTCATACCGGAATATTCCTCTTCTTCCAGCTTCTGCAGCTGGGAGTCATCTTTGTCAGACAGTATTTTGGTTTATCCACAGACATTCATCTATAAATATCATCTCCTGACACCTTTTGCACTCACGCCGCCCCATATCATGATGCTGCCACCTCCGTGCTTCACTGTCAGGACGATGCATCCACTGTGGTGGTCCTGGTCAGGCTCACACCAAACATCTGGACTCTATCTGAGCCCAACAAAATGATCTTCCTCTGACCAAAGAATGTTCTCCCAATAATGATCAAGCTTCTCTGCATGTTCTTTAGCTAAATTTCATCTTGTAGTTTGTTTTTTTTCAGTGGTCAATAATCGTGCCGCATTCTGTGAACGTGCACCGGAACGTTTTGATTGCACCTCATATGTTAGCAATCGCCAGTTGTGTCATTAACATTTTGCCCAGTTACTTTTTTACTTATTTATACAGTAAATCTGTTTTGACCAGATCATGGCCTGTTGTTTTTTAGACACTGACATTTTGTAGTCACACATCTACTTTGATTACTGACAAAGAGATGAGGTTTTTTTTTCATCTCTCTTCTCTGGTCTTTGATAACAGATCACACTCACTCCCACATGGACTTCCGATTGTTTGTGCAAGTTGTTTTTTGCTAGCAGAGGTGACCAGTCTTTGAATTAGTAAAACTAGTAGTAGTGGATCCACTGTTCATGACAAGAAGGACTGGTAAACAAATCCATGTCTGTGTGCTTTTTGTTTTGTTTTGTCAGTTATGTTCGCCATTCATCTTTAAATTTAAGACAGAAAACCTATAATCCTAAATGCTTTTTGAAGACAGCTACTTGACCAACTTGCAGTCACGTGTTTAGCAAGAAGTGGGTCATTCAGAGAAAGTAAGCAAGTCCAAGGGGCAAAAGCAAAAACAAACCACTTCTTTGATAACAAGTCACTCTCACGTGGACGTTCGATTGTAAATGCAAGTCAATCTTTGCTCTCAGGTGCCGCCAGTCTCTCGCTACTAGTCTCTCATGTATCCACCCTTCATAATGAGAAGAACCACAGGTGGGGTCTCTGGTGTATGTGGTGCATGTTTACTGGCACATACATTCCCTCAGTTAACAGCTCATGAAAGCTCCAAAACTCTGGAGCTTTTTGGAAAGGTGAATCTCATGAGAAATCACTGAGTCACAGAAAACCTTTCTGAACATCTCCAGTTATTACATCGCTATCTCTGAAGGACTTGTAACGTTTGCCAGGCGATGCTGCAGGCTACTTGCAACCCTGCAGGGAGTTTCTCAATAAATTAGTCTGCACAATATCAGTTAAGAAGCAACCCTACTACCCATAAATAGCTTTCTTTTGATAACTCTTTATGGAATACATTTTATTTAATCTGAATGATGACACTGACATTACATCTATTTCTCAAAGGGGGAAAAAAAAAGAATATATTTATTTAAATTAACCATTTAAATTAAGTGAAAATTACCTGTACAATAACTCATAGTAATCAATTAAAACTGTTAATTGTATCGAACTGGATCCAACTGGGGCTGCAGGGTGGCGCAGTTGGTAGCACTGTTGCCTCGCAGCAAGAAGGTTGCTGGTTCGCGTCCCGGTGGGGGCACCGAAGTCTTTCTGTGTGGAGTTTGCATGTTCTCCCTGTGCAGCGTGGGTTCTCTCCGGGTTCTCCAGCTTCCTCCCACAAGGTCCAAAAACATGTTGAGGTTAATTGGTGATTCTAAATTGTCTGTAGGTGTGAATGTGAGTGTGCTTGGTTGTCTGTCTCTAAGTGTGGCCCTGTGATAGACTGGTGACCTGTCCAGGGTGTCCCCTGCCTTCACCCTGAGTCAGCTGGGATAGACTCCAGCCCCCCACGACCCTAGTGAGGATTTAAGCGGTTTATAGATAATGGATGGATCCAACTGGAGGATCAACATACTGACTAACTGGGGATGGTTAAAAGCAGACTAAAATTTCAAGCAAAGAATTGTCAGATTTTTAACTTTCTGATTGTCCGTCAACTAATTCTGGGTGACATTCAATTCTGTCGGGAAATTAACAACATCTAGGCTGACAATTGTAATATTTCATCAAAATTACATTATTGTACAGTCTCATTTAAAAATAGACCATATGCACAAAGCAGATTATGTAAAAAACTAAAAATCCTATAGTAATCAGTGCAGCTAAGAAGCCATGACTAACTAAACAGTGACTAACGGTCATGTGAGAACAATTTTGACACTTTTCAGCTGAACTGCAGGCAGTGTTACCC